ATCAATAGCAGTTTTATTTAAATAGGTGCGCAGGAGGGAAGAATTTGTCTTATCTAGACTACTTTTACGGTCCGGATCTTATCAAGAGGATAACAGTCACACAGAATTGGTTAGTACCGTATCGGTCGATTTGTCGAAAGCAATATTTTAGCACTTGCTGGCCCAATCAATTTGAAAAAAAAATGAAGAAACCTTTGTTACTTTACACTTGTTACATTACGATCTTTATTGTGATCATGATGGTCCTAATGATGGATAGAAGTTACAATCAACGCGTACCACTTTTTGTGACATCCGGTGATGCTAACAAGACCGGTAGGCTTCTGAACTTCGAACCGGAAGTAGGTATGTATGTCTAATTAAACTCTATTAATCTGACTAGGCATCGCAAATAAACGTGTCACATTACGTATGATTAAGAAAATTTTGTAGACTGTTCTCCTATTGCTTTATCACTTTGAAACGCGCATTCATGATATAACATGATACAGAATGTAGTCAGACGCATAATGCAAAGATATTATGTAACTTTACAATAGTCAACTATATACAGTATTTGTACGATATTGGAACATAACACGTATAAATTCTGATTATTGACAGACAAGCCTCTATCGGACAAGAACATTTTCTTTATCGAAACATCGGGTATTACGAAAGGAGATTTAATGCTGAAAAGTCGTCAAGGCTGTGCGGTCGAGTCTGCCGCTAGAATGAATCCAAATATGACCGTGTACCTGCTGCTCGTCTCCCGTTCGAAGGTTCCGAATCAATCGACGAAGTTCTTTGATCAGCTGGAAAGCTATCCGAATGTTCGAATTAGATGCGTCTATTTAGACAAATACATGGAAAACACGCCGCTGGAAAAGTGGTACAAAAGAGGCGTGTGGAAGGAGAGTCAATGGCCTATATCACACATGTCCGATGTCCTTAGGTATCTGACGCTGTGGAAGTACGGAGGAATATACTTGGACTTAGACGTCGTTGTCACAAAGTAAGCCCAATACCAATCTTCTTTAAACGTAATGTGCTAGGAACAATATTAAGTTAAACTCAGATATGCTTCGGAATCCTAGTCAACCTAGTTGTTTCATGTTGCATTTAAATGACGTTCGCTTGTTAAAAGAGAACGTATTAAATGTTAATGAAAATTGTTTCTCGTCAGGTCTCTCGAAGATTTAAAAAATTTCGCTGGTATCCAAGATGAGGAAACTGTGAATTCTGCTGTCATCGGTTTCGACTGTTCACCATTGGGACGATTTATGGCATATCGTTGCATTCACGATTTGAAAATGAATTTCCGTGGCGACAGTTGGGCTCACAATGGCCCTGGAGTAATCACGCGAATGTTACAGAAATTTTGCTCCACCAAGAAGGTAAGTATAATAGATGATGGGTGGAACGTATCAAAAGTAGTCAAGAAAATTATGAGAAATTAAAATCTCGTTTGTTATTATGCTATTGGAAACGTAAGAAAAATAATAATGCATATACGAAAATCGTTTGTATTTTTCTCAGATTGAGGAATTGACCACCAAGCGGTGTCATGGTTTCGAAATTTTTTCTCCGTCGGTCTTTTATCCAATTCGTTACGAGAATTGGACGATGTACTTCAAGGACGAAGAGAAAGAGAGAACAATTGAATTAATGAAAGAGGCGCGAGTCATTCACTTATGGAATAAACTTAGCAAGTATAAAGAAGTGCCCGTAGAGAGCGACGTACCATATGCGATTCTTGCAAGAAGACATTGCCCGAGAGTTTTCTATAATTCTGGAACAATATTTCGATAATAATAAAGATTTGTACTGAATGTTACAAGATATTTTATTTATTTTAAATATATGTTTTATTATAATAAAATGATAATTTTCCTATGACTGTGTTGTTTTAATGAATTTTAAAACGCGGTTTATTAATAGATATTTATACATAATACTTAATCTGTATTTCGACAAGAATTATGCAATACTAGTAACTGTGACTGAAACATAGAACAATATTTGAATGAAATTGGAATGAAGATTCAAATTCTATTACGCACAAGGAAGAAAGTGATCGAAGTTACAATTCTTTGTGAGAGACAGAGAGAATATATATGTATAGTTTTGCAAGTTCTGAACACGAGGGGTTCGGTGCCACTTTTTAAAGTTAAGAATCTAAAGCGAGAATATTTAAAACCAAACGTCGCGGTGTACCTCCTCGGTAAACCAATTCTTTTAAAACTAAAGTACCGAGGAGACAGTACTGGAAAATGGCAATGCACTTATAATCGCTGGGAAAGCGAATGGGATCCATGAGCTTTAAAACACAGTCAATAATCGGAAGAAGATCGTATGGTGATCCTAAGAAAAGTATATGGGAACGTAATATTTTATTTGTAAGATTCTTTTTATAAAATATTATGATTCCCAAACCTGTTTTCGCACTCGCGATCTATAAAAAAATAAGTACGTCACTAGACTTAGGCTACTACTAGTAACTTGTGCGCACCCGCCCAAAATCCCACGGACGGAGTTCCCAACACTGGATTTGCGTTATGTTCAATGGAAGAACGCAACAACGTCGATTTACGTATAAAACGTTTTTAATCGGTGTAAAACGTTAACCGGTATTATGTATACCCGTATCTCGCCGTCGTGCGTCAGTTGAATTAACTCATCTGTGTAACGTATAGAATACGACGGTCCGTATATGGTAGTACATTACGGAAGACCGTGTGCTAACCTCTCTTCGATACGCTGAAGAGTTTTGTTGAAAATCGTGAAAAGAATGGCGGTCGGATCGACGAAAGTGGTACAGGTGACGAATATCGCACCTCAAGCGACGAAAGATCAAATGCAAACATTGTTTGGATATCTCGGAAAAATAGAGGATATCAGATTGTATCCCACTATACGAGACGTTGCAGTACCTGTACAATCGCGTATTTGCTACATAAAATTTCATGATCAAGGATGTGTTGCAGTTGCTCAACATATGACAAACACTGTTTTCATTGATCGTGCATTGATCGTGATCCCTTATCAAAATGGAGACATTCCAGATGAACAGAGAGCCCTAGAATTAACAAACAATGGCACAGTTGTTCCAGGTAAGCATTGATTATTTTCCTTTATTGTAAACCTTTATTTTAATTAGATGTACCCATAATGTACTTCATATTTATTTTTCACAGGTCTTTATCCTTCTGAACCTAAGCTACCACCAAATGTTGTAAATGCAATAGAGGGAATTCCACCAAATCATGTCATTACTACTATGGATCCTAAACTGGAATCGAATGGATTGCCACCTTACCCACATTTACCTGGCCATTTGGATAGTAGGAAAATTGAAGAGATAAGAAGAACCCTCATCCTTGCTAATATAGATCCGTCTGTGACAACTGATCATTTGTTAGACTTCTTTAGTAATAATAATGTCGAAGTAAAATATTTACGTATGTGCACCAGAGATTCAGACACGGAACACTATGCTCTAGTAGAACTTTCTGAGCAAGCAGCTGTAGTATCTGCATTACTACTGAATGGTAAAATGCTCATGGATAGACCGATTAAAATTTACCATTCGACTCAAGCAATAGCGAAACCTGAAGCGAAAAGCAACGAGGCTGCACAGAAGGAGATAGAGGAAGCCATGTCTCGCGTAAAGGAGGCCCACAATTTAATATCAGCTGCGATTGATCCGATGATTGGAATGTTATCGAAAGATAAACGAAGCCGCAGCGGCTCACGCAGTCGGAAATCTCGATCTAGATCACGAGGACGCAGCAGACGATCTAGATCACGTAAGAGATCGCGATCTCGGCACAGGCGCTCGCGTTCACGTCATCGACGGAGATCCAGATCACGATCGAAGCGCTCGCGATCCAAAGATCGTAGACGAAAGTCACCGTCTCGTAGAAGAAGCAGCTCCCGAGGTCGGCATCGTTCGCGTTCCCGATCACGACGCTCTCGATCGCGTAGATCCAGGTCCAGATCAAAAGATCGCAAGAAGAGATCTCCTCGTCGAAGAAGCCGTTCGCGATCCCGAAGCAAACGTTCAAAATCGAAGTCTAGACGATCAAGATCCAAGTCCAAGTCCAGGTCCTCCAAATCGAAATATGCCGAAAAATCAAAGGACAAAGACAAGGAGAGAAGGAGCAAAGATAAATCGGATAATGGTAAAAAGAGCGACGGCGACAAAGCTGATAAAGAGAAGAGCGAGAAGAAGTCTAGTAAAGAAAAAAAGTCCGAGAAAGAATCAAAGTCTGACGAGAAGAATAGAAGTACGTCGGAAAATAGCGAAACGAAGGAGAAAGCAGAGTCTGAAACTTAAATATTGACAAATATTCCAAATTATAAGAAAATTAATTTGCATCTCTCGATCAGTTTGTTAATTTAATGTTACGATATGCCGTAATGTATTAAACAATAAAAAATGCAAGAATATAAAACTTCCGAAGATTCTTTTAGTTCGTATATACGCACGGGAAAATATATTTATATTTAATATGGATTGTAGCAACGTATTTACTGCAAACGTTTATAACATCAAGTTTTGACTTACTAATTTCTACTCATGTTCACGATGAATAGACAATACTACGGATGTTTTATACTCAAGATCGTCCCTTCAAACTCATTAAAATTGTACGCCAATAATAACTGACTTATGTTCACTTTAAATATTTGACATGGTTTACGCATTCAATTTTTTTTGTATTTCTCATTTTCAATTAAAACGTAGGCTCTTCATTCTTCTGAAATTCGCTAATTATTATCTTTTAAATGTATTTTGTGTAATAAATAATTATTCATTTACATAATAGCATTATTATTGAACATGTCCTGAAGATTCTTTCTTTCAACTTTCAACAATTTTGAGACATCCGCCCTGTCACATCTGAGGGCAGCACCAATAGTAGCAGTGACAGTGACATTGCAATCGCAATCCCCTTTCAATGAGTTTACGTGCTCCCTGTTCAAAGAGGTACCAAATTGTACCAAATGTATAATAATCGTTAGGTTAAAGTGACAGACGAATAAGACAATTGGAAACAGTAGCTTATTCAATTGCAATTTGAGAAGATTTTAGCGATAAGCGAAATCAGAATTAACGTTCGGTTAAGCTCCTGTGAAGTTTGGAATAAGTGTAAGTTTTATATCGCCACGTATTAGGAGAAATTGCATGGCAATATATGTGTACTTAACTTGTAAAAGGAGAAGTTTTAAAAGATCTTTGTTAATGATCTCAAAAAAATGTTTGTGCGTAAAAGGGAAATACATAATTCTTTTTCACAGTGAATTATTGCAAAATATCAGAGTTAAATGGTAAAGATGACACCTATAGATGAAGGGAAATTAAGACAAAGTTTGTCAAAGGCATGTACTTCATTTTATTCTCAATATATACTTATATTTTCATTGTCATTACCTTTTACATATGTATTTGTTAATGATATTTACAATACACATTTTATTTTCTAGTATCAAAATCCTGATACCACCAAAAAGCATGTTATGAACGTTCTCAATCTTTACAAAGGTTTACTATACAAAGTAGAACCATTTGGTAAATATCAGATATTTTCTATCACATATTAGTTTTAAGCTTGTAGCATGTATACCAAAATAAGACAAATTTGTCAAGACATCATCTAATTTTAACTATTTTTTTCCCCCCATATTAAGTATTTAATGATGGATCACGCAAAGAGTTGTTCAACTTGCAAGGAACAATTCCTGTTTCATATAAAGGTAATATAAGTCACACTCTTAAAATAGCTATATAATTCAAATAAATTTTTATCATTTTTGATAATTAATGTTTTAGGTACTTATTACAATATTCCTATATGCATATGGTTGATGGACACACATCCGAATAATGCACCAATGTGTTACGTCAAGCCTACTTCGGAAATGAATATTAAAGTCAGTATGTTCGTCGATCATAATGGGAAGATTTACTTGCCATATCTTCATGATTGGTTACCTGTAAGTAATTTCTCAGTGTATCTGATCATCTTGTGATTCATTTAAACCATCAAGTGTTTTTGCCATGTTTAGCATTCATCGGATTTACTTAGCCTGATTCAAATAATGATTGTGACGTTTGGAGATCAACCACCTGTTTATGCTAAGCCACGTCACTATGAAAATACTCAAACAAGCTCTACTCCTTATCCTGTACAACGTGAGTGAACTCTTACTAATAAATACTTCGTAAATGATATTGATGTTAAATCATGGATATTTCTATAGCTTTTATGCCTGTACCTGGGAGTGGAACTCACATGTCGGGTTCCAATTTTCCACCATACCCAACGAACTCACAATATACAAGTGGAAGCAATGTATATCCACCATACATGTCTACAACATCTTCTGGATTCCCATATCCAGGCTCATATGGTTCTTACGGAGGAGGTGCTTCAAGTTATCCACCACAAAGTTGTTCTGGTTCGTTTCCATACCCTCCGTCAACTCAATCGGTAAGTTAATAATAATAATTAATAAAAGTTAATAATTTTACTAATTTTTTGTTGTACCGTTCAAGTCTCCAACGGTGCCAGCTACCGCAGGTGCATCGGGTACGATCACAGAGGAGCATATCAGAGCATCATTGTTGTCAGCGGTGGAGGATAAATTAAGAAGGAGACTGAAGGAACAATTCTCACAGTTGCTAGCCGAATTAGAGACATTGCGTCGAACGCAACAGGAACTCACAACCGGATCCACTCATCTTAACGATCTATTCGATAGATTAAAGAGAGAGAAAGCTGAACTCGAAAAAAATATAACGATACTTCAAGATAAGGAAGCCGAATTGGAAAAAGAAATTGCAAAACTCTCTGATAATCAGTCGATAGATGTCGACGAAGCTGTTACTACTATTGCACCGCTTTACAAACAGTAAGTAGTTAACCAGTCGTTTGATTGAACAATGTTACATGTTGGTGGTATATTTGCAGGATGCTGAACGCGTTCGCGGAAGAGGCAGCTACGGAGGATGCGATATATTATCTGGGCGAAGCGTTGCGTTGCAGTATCATAGATTTAGACACGTTTTTGAAACAAGTGCGGCAACTTTCACGCAGACAATTCATGCTCAGAGCTCTCATGCAACGTTGTCGCCAGAAAGCGGGATTGGCCGGTTAAATATTGTATTGGATCCTTACAAAGTTGCGCCATTTAATATTTTATTTTATTACAAATACTTTACGCGAAACAAACTATATAAATCCCGCGATGATCGAGGGGTAAGAATATATTATAGACAAGAGGTATCTTCTTCGTGAAAGCGATTTTCTTGTGAATTGAATATTGTATATTATACAGTGATGTATTTTTGTTTCATGTTACACAGATTTTGTTCAAAACGCTGGTCTTGAACGTGAAGCTTTTATACATAAAACGAAACAAGAATGGAAAAATAAATAAAATATATATGTATACATAAACAAACCAATGGAGATTTAAGGAATAATATTAAGAATAAATATCTTTGTTTTATGCAATTATATTTCTAAATGTAATGTATCTAAAAACGTGTAAAAAATACGTAATTTTTAATCCGACCTTTTTACATTATGAAAAAGAATTATGTACCTCAGATAGCATTTTAGATATTAAAAAGTATAAATGCTTTATTATGTTATGTGATATATGTATAAATTAATTACTAATTGCACCAATTATGAAAAATACATTATTTTTATTCTTATTATGTGGAATTCTTATGTTATTATTTATGTGCTATTACAGGTGTAACATTAAAATTATTTGTGTTCAGTGCCAGGATTAATCTGAAACGAAAAGAGAATGGAGACTGACGTTTATAAGTCTACCCAAAAAGTATTGTAATTGTTTGTTTAAATTCTAATATAATAATTTACCTATACGTAAATTCCAACCCAAAGTAGTAAAAATAATACACCGAAACCAGAAAATATTGCCGCGACTAAAGATATTAACAACTCTTTGAAGAGATCCCTCGTAAATTTTGTACTCGTCACTTCATATACAAAGAACCATGCTGTAAAGAATATTCCAATTCCTAGTAAAACCACTGCCAGTAGTGGGAAAATTGCAGGATTTATGGGAGAGACATATCTTGACATAGACTCGATTTCCACCTAAAGTAAAACAAAAATGATTAATACACAGAGGACTTGTTAAACGATTGTTAATTCGATGTTAATATGTTTTCGAGCATGTAGGTCCCCGGTGAAAAAATGCCGAAATGGACTTCCGTAAAATTGTAATTGTATTTAACATTGTAATACAAAGTCTCACACAGAGAGTAGAGAAAAAATTATATCTCGTTACATTAACGAAGCGTATGTTTAGAATGAAATAAATCTTGTACTCACCATTGTGTCAAATAAATATTTTGACGTGGCTTACTTTAGAGACACGTAAATCTGCGTGCAACTATATGCTGCAAACTTCAAGTAAATACACGCTCGTGAAGAGTGAAGATGAAGAGGATGGAAGTTAGGTGCCTGCCAATAATCAAAATATAAATCACTTCAATTTTCGAAAAGCGCAGTAACTTCATTCGCTACGATGTGAAAAATATAAATAAAATAAGTACTATCGCTGTTATATCGTAGGTATAAACAAATTCAAGAATAAATAACAAACGATTAATAAATTTTGGCTACATGAGCAGATTTATGTAATCATTAGTGTGTTTAATAAATTTTATGTAACTTTAAATCCATAAATAAAGCGTGTGTTTTTTCGACGAAATGTTATTTGCGTAAAAAGGTATGTAATTTTATCTATCAAGGATAAGAATTCGTTTGCAGTAGCAATTTCTTCTGAGCATGCAAACAAGAAGTATATTATTGTATAACATATGTAACATTTATTTGATACGAACCCGATGAAAACGATAAGAAATATTTGTCAGTTAAAAATCTTCACTTGCGATTGTTTCGAAATCGATAACACATTTGTCACCATGGAGTGATTCATAACACATAACATTGTATGTGTGTATTTGCAATTTTTACATTTGATACCTACAAAAGCATTGTTTCTATGTACAACGATTAACTTTGTGCATTTTAAGTAAGTAAATGAAATAGTAGCTTCTAATAATAACAGTGAATAAAAAATCTTCTATCATTATTTTATTTTGACAAAAATTAAATATGTACTTATGTTAACATCTTCTGTTTTTTGCTTTCACCATACAGAATATGTATTTATTATCATAATTCTCTTTTTTTAGGAAAAATGGCAAAGGATTTTATGTCGGAACAATTTTCCTTGAAGTGGAACAATTTTTCTAGCAATTTAACATCTGGCTTTTTGAATCATTTAAGTGAAAATGATCTAGTTGATGTTACGCTTGCTGTAGAGGGTCAATTATTACAAGCACATAAATTGGTTCTCTCAGTATGTAGTCCATATTTCAAAAGTATATTTAAGGTACTGACACTTTATACCTTTGATGTGTACACATGTGTTGATCGACCAGGCAAGAAGTTTTTAGAATTTTTTTGCAGGAGAATCCTTGCCAGCATCCTGTGATCATCCTTAAAGATATGAAGTGTGCTGAAATTGAGTCATTATTGAAATTCATGTACCAAGGTGAGATAAACATTAATCAAGAAGATTTACCAACTTTCCTAAAAGTAGCACAAACGTTGCAAATAAGAGGACTTACAACAGAGGATACAGTGAACATAAAATCATTTCTTGGGTTTGAATTAAATGAGCCTACAGTCCAAAATATTGCTCAATCCAGTTTAAGTACAATAAACAAAGTATCCAAAGATGTAGAAATGATAGACAGGAGAAAAAGATCTCGCGATTTGACGAGAAAATGTAACAAAAAAGCGAAACACGATACACCTGTAACAGTAGAAAACACACAAAACATATTTAAAGAAGACATGGATAATGATGATCAAGATGTTCTACTCTTGAAAGATGAAAATGATTCTATAGTTAATGATAGTGACAATGTTTATACTACGAAAAACAATGAAAACGATGAAAATGAGAATGCTACTGAATTAGCTGTTGATCCAACTTCAAAAAATCCAACTCAAGAAGGTAAAGGCTTTTTATGAAGCGAAGATATTTCTAAATTAATAAAATTATGAAAGATTAACTGAATATAAACATTATAGATGTAGAACCGGTGATCTATAGGCTTTCCGCACGAGGCCGGCCGCAATTAGTTCACGAGGGTTACGTCTACAATTTAACATCGCGTTCTGAAGCTTTGAATAGGTCTCATTATAGATGCGCCGAGCAGCATCGCGGATGTAAAGGTAAATGCGCTGTTATTGCCGAAAGATTTATGCCTACCGGTGTACACGATCATAATCATCCTCCTGGATATCAGTCAGAACATGATTACCGAAAAAAGAAAGGATTAGATGCCGACACCTCTTAAAATGGGTTTATTTTAAGTGTTAATTATAATAGCATTTTATCGGATAATTATTTTGTTGTTTGAATATTTTATGATCAAAGAAAGTGTTTGTTTTTAATGATAGCATTTGAAAATAGCGTTCCGTAAAGAGCATACAGTATTTTAAAAATAGTTGTCCAATCGTTTGATCACGAAACTTTATATATATTTAAATTGTTGTGCAATTTTCTGATCACGGCAATCAGAGTGTATTTTTTGCAAGAATCATAAAATTGCAATTGTACATAATAGTAAATTAGCAAGCCAGTATAAAGTATGTGAACCCCTGTATTTTCATTAACTGTGATGCACATTTTTGGAATTCATAAAAAAGAAGACGTAGTCGGCAGATAACAAGCACACATTCCATTTAGTATTATATTTAACGCGAATCAAGCCAAATAAAAGTATTTAATTTATGTTACTTGTTTCACGTAGAATATGTCTTTTTATATGATAAAAGCGTAATTCGTGTTTATAAACACGCCGATTTATCCATGTACAATATGTACATATGTACATATAAAATTACTGTTCCATTTACCGACACTTTAAGTTTTATATATTTCATATGTAACTTATTTGAAAGAATAGTATGTCTACTATTATATTCAAAATTATAAAAATCAGGAGTAAATGATATATACATAGATAACATTGAAAATTATAAAAATTTATTTTTATATTAATCTTCCGGTGATCTATAGGCTTTCCGCACGAGGCCGGCCGCAATTAGTTCACGAGGGTTACGTCTACAATTTAACATCGCGTTCTGAAGCTTTGAATAGGTCTCATTATAGATGCGCCGAGCAGCATCGCGGATGTAAAGGTAAATGCGCTGTTATTGCCGAAAGATTTATGCCTACCGGTGTACACGATCATAATCATCCTCCTGGATATCAGTCAGAACATGATTACCGAAAAAAGAAAGGATTAGATGCCGACACCTCTTAAAATGGGTTTATTTTAAGTGTTAATTATAATAGCATTTTATCGGATAATTATTTTGTTGTTTGAATATTTTATGATCAAAGAAAGTGTTTGTTTTTAATGATAGCATTTGAAAATAGCGTTCCGTAAAGAGCATACAGTATTTTAAAAATAGTTGTCCAATCGTTTGATCACGAAACTTTATATATATTTAAATTGTTGTGCAATTTTCTGATCACGGCAATCAGAGTGTATTTTTTGCAAGAATCATAAAATTGCAATTGTACATAATAGTAAATTAGCAAGCCAGTATAAAGTATGTGAACCCCTGTATTTTCATTAACTGTGATGCACATTTTTGGAATTCATAAAAAAGAAGACGTAGTCGGCAGATAACAAGCACACATTCCATTTAGTATTATATTTAACGCGAATCAAGCCAAATAAAAGTATTTAATTTATGTTACTTGTTTCACGTAGAATATGTCTTTTTATATGATAAAAGCGTAATTCGTGTTTATAAACACGCCGATTTATCCATGTACAATATGTACATATGTACATATAAAATTACTGTTCCATTTACCGACACTTTAAGTTTTATATATTTCATATGTAACTTATTTGAAAGAATAGTATGTCTACTATTATATTCAAAATTATAAAAATCAGGAGTAAATGATATATACATAGATAACATTGAAAATTATAAAAATTTATTTTTATATTAATCTTTGATAAGCTTCCTTTGCTGGGACACTGTAAAACAGTTGCCAACTTTAATGTGATAGCGCTTGTGTACACTACTCAATTTTCATAATCTGTTAATTTGGATAAAAATTTATTTTAAAGACATTTAAATAGTATTTCCATGAACATAAAAAAGAATACAAGCTAAAACCAATAGCAGGCAGTCTCGTTTCACAATTTTGCTCAACTTTATCCCACACCCATACAGTTTTTAAATAATGTTATAATAAATTTAAATGTTTGTTCGCGTTTATTTCGAATAGAAATGCTAATGCCGTCTAGCCATTTTTTTCTCCATCTTCCGTTGTTTCTTCTCGCTAATCTCAGGTTGCTCCGCGGCAGGAGCAAAGAACCACGGAGATAGTATTTGTTTCCATAACATCCAACCGCCTCTCAATGGTACCTGTTCGTAATATATTTGATATAAACGTTTCAGTCTATTTAAGCACATTACGTAAGTTAAAAGAAGGATCAATATTTATATTGTTTATTTTGTTAAGTATACTTACCAGAAGCCATAACAACCAAAAATAATTTGATATAAGTGAAAGTACTTGTACTCCTGAAGTTAAAATAATTAGATCTTTTATGTGTCTGAAACAAAGCGAAGAAAGTTTTATTATATTTAATGAACCTGTTAAACAGTGTAATAATATATTGTACTATTTAAAGAGACTATTGAAACACTTTGTGATATTTACTCTGCTATACCTCCTTCCATATTAAGATCGATTCCAGAATCTATAAGTTGTCCAGATTCTGAGTATGTTGCTTGTGCTATGTATTTCATAAATTGATAACTTCCTACATATACGATTCCAGAAAATATTGATAATGTCTACAATTGTAATAGGAAAAAATATAATAATGTAATTTACTATAAAAATAGTAATTTAAGTATACAATTTACTATTGATAATGTCGTAAAATTAAAGAATAACATGATGACGATGAAGTATGTCCCTGTTGCCCCTAAAATCATGTTCTGGTAGAAACTTAACGTTGTCTTATTTTCTTCTACTATCTGCTTTGCTCCTTTTGTTGCT